ACCCAGGTTTGTCGGCCTCCCCCCACACACTGGCAAACAACTCCGTATTTTTGGTAGTATTTTTCTGATCTTTTTCCTTAAATAATTTCTGGGATTCATTTTAATTTATATATGCTTGGCATTATACCTGCAACAGTTTGCATTTTACTAGATAGTGATGTGCTTTGCTCTATATTTGTTAGTTCTAAGATATTTCCTCTCACAACCACACTGTATTATTTCAGGGTTTGCTTGCCCTTGGGTATTGCAACCTTTCATTTCTCTCCAACCCCCAACACCTGTGACTTCTGAGTTCTGTATTAATCGCTCTCTGCCTTACTCTGAATGAACACTGTGTTGGAAATCTTCACATAAAGCTTTTTCTATGTAACTAGAATTACAGCCTTCAGAGAAGAAAATGAGTGGTTATTTCAGCTTTTCTAAACAGCTTATCAGTTTATGCTTAAACAGTAAAGAAATAAAAATGCATATTCATCAAAGAAGCATAGAATAATTTCAAATGTCAAGTTGGGAATACAAGACACACAGCTTAGAAACTACTTCTTGGCAATTTCTGAACGCTTTCGTGTGACCTCAGGAGTAGGTGTGCATGACTGTTGGCGTGTGCTTGCGGGATGCATAGGATCGCACCAGTGGGCTTCTGAAAATCAATCCTATTGATTCCTAATGTGCTTACGTAGCAAAGCCCCAAACCTTACAGAGCTCTGGTAGGAATGCTCCACATGCCTGAGGACGGACGTGGCCAGAGACACTGCTCCTCACTAACTCTGGCCTCTCAGGGCAGGACTGAACATTTCTCAGCCTCAGCTTATCAACTGAAGAAACTCACTTAAATCACATTTTGGTGGATTCTATGTTTCAAAGGTAAGATAATTACCACTTACAAGGTCTGCTTGGATAGACTGCTGGGGGACAATCACCGCGGGACAGAAGTTCTGAGAGAGACTGAAAGGGAAGGGGGGGGATATTAACACTTCAAAGCCAGCAATGACCACTTTGACTCTCAATATCAAAATTTTGAGTTTGAAATCTTAATTTCACATCTCATTTTCCCAAATTGTCTCCCCACTGTCAGCAATTATAAGATTATCACATACAAATTATTTTTGGGAAAAATGCCTCTAAATGCTCTAAATGAATCAACAGAGATAAAAAAAGAAAACGAAAAAACAAAACAAAACAAAAAACCCCAATATATTACAAAAGCAAGGCACATCTCTGAAGAGACCACACTCAATCTCTGACCATTTAACATTTTTCTGAAAAACAGCATTTTCTATGATTAACAATCAATTTTAATAGTATTTAATATAATAAAGTTTTAGAAATCTCCTGTGTGTGTCAAACCTAGGAAAGAGTGGGCTTAAACATTTTTATTGAATTGTTTTATTTAGTGTGTGTGTGCATATGTGTCTGAGTGTGTGTGTGTGTGTGTGTGTGTGTGTGTGTGTACACGTGGAGGTCCTATTACCAGATTCAGTTTTCTCTTTCTATCATTTTGGTGTCAGTGTTGGGGATCTAGCAGTATGGTTTTGTAATGATGACTCTAGGTGACGTAAAATTCTAGCTCTTGTCACCAACAAACCCACCCGGATGGAGCCCATCTCTCAGTTGGAGGTA